GTCGCTATGAGTTGGTTCCGACTCGATGGCACCTGACAACAACAACAACATTGATGTCCTGGTGTAGTGCTTTAGGATTATCCTGGACTGCTTACTTCAAGGGTATGATTGGTGATTCAAATCTACGAACTGCTTCTCATAACCCTTGTAAAGAGTCGCTATCAATTTAACTGAACTGACTCTGGCACTTAACAACCACAGCAGTTGGCTTCAAAAAGTTAATGAAAATAATTTCATTATCTTTTAACTCAATTTTTCACAAACTTTTTGAAGCTCCCTCCCTCATATATTCTGAATTTATTATTTATTGTTCATGTCCCCTTTCAAATATGAATGTAAAACATAAATCATGTATTGACAGAGCCCGTTTCCTTCATATACGCTATTACATACCCATTATCTATAATAGTTACTCACATATATTTATAACAAAATAATATTTACAAATTGGATGAATCTGATTTGATAATAAAATTAAGTAAGCTTATCAGAAATGGTCATTGTATTCAGTGGTATGTAATTTGTACTAAGCCAATGTTAAATCACGAAATGTTGGTAGCTTAATTACGTCTAACAAGATTTCATGTTCCTTAAAAAATTAACTAGCCTCAATATTCATACCTATAAGACATTAAAACAAAATTATTGTAAAAATATGTTGAACACAGTATTTAAATAAAACTAAAATTTTATAGGAGCAAATAATTTCCAGTTATTACTTATTTCTATCCTATTTAATTCTTTGATACATATTTATGCATAATGTTTTTTCTTTTTAATATTCTTTATTTTAGTATCCAGATGGAATTAGTTTGGAGGGGTTTTCAATTATTATAACTCAACTACTTGGTCTTAATATAGGATTAACATATGATGACATCGATAATTGTTCTTGTCCAAGAGCTACATGCATAATGAATCCTGAGGCACTGTAAGAGTTTTTATTTATTTATGTATTTTTAATTTAGTTTGTATTTATTGTGAGGTTATTTCCAAGATGTAATACTTAAAAAAATCCTTTTATATTATATTTATATATCAATATATGTATATATATTTGATATATCAAAATTTGAGAAAGTATGTCATGCATAAAGAGATACATATTCAACATATATACATAAAATCTAAGTGAAATTAAGACTCCAGAAAATGTCAAATTCTGTAATTAACAAAAGGGGTGTAGGTGTGGCACTGTAGAATAAGCATTGAATTGCTAACTGAAAGGTAGACTGTTCAAACCCATCATCCACTCCCAGGAAACCATATGCAGAGTCACTATTAGTGGGAACAAAGTATATGACACTTAACAACAACTTAATTAACAAATGTTCAAGGAAATTAGAGGGCAAATAAAATTTTTTATAAAGACTAGAATACAAAAATATATTGATATTGTGTAGACTGTTGTCATCTTCATTATTGAAAACAAGTATGTCTATTATCATCCTTAAAATGTGAAATTGTTGGCAACTTTGGCTAATATGTTAAAGGGAAGAAAGAAGGACAAAAGATTTGAAAAAGCATTGCCTCTATTTTAAATGTTATAAATGGATAACTAGCTAAATCAACAGAATTAGTATACAATGAGGACAATCAAAAAGAATCACTGATTCATCTGTTTATAAACATCAAAAACATGTGTTACACAATTGAGAAAATAGATGTTTGTGTGCTACTGAATCAGTTTCAATTCATAGCCACCCTTATAGGGTTTCCTAGGCTACAAATCTTTACAGGAGTAGAAAGCCTCATCTTTGTCCCACAAAGTGGGTGGTAGATTTGAACTGCTGACTTTGTGGTTAGCAGCCTAACTCATAATCCACTATACTGCCAGGATTCCTTATTAAGAATGTGGATGATATATTTCAAAATTAGTAGTTTTTCCAAAACAGTTCAATAAATTTAGCAAAATGTCAATAAAAAACTAAATAATTTGCAAAGGAACTTGATAAAACTGTGAAATGATAGAGTGGAGATGGCAAATATAGACAATAGTTTAGAGATTATGACCTATGTGATAAAAAAAATTTTTTTTGATAGGTAGGTAGAAGAGTAAATAAACAGAAATGAAGGTGGTTTGGTTAATAGAGGTGTACATATTAGGACATTTTCTTCTGAGAGGAATTTGATAGCAAGGGATGTTAAGAGACTGGATGGAGAGGGACCCTAAAAAATCCACCGCCATCAAGTATATTTAGACTCATGTTATTGCTGTTGTTAGGTGCCATGGAGTCAGTTTGGACCCATAGCGACCCTACATATAACAGAACAAAACACCACCTGGTTCTATGCCATCCACACAATTGCTGCTGCATTTGCTCTTATTATTACTGCCATGCCAATCCATGTCGTTGGAGCTCTCCCTCCTTTTTGCTGTCCTTCCACTTTGCCAAGCATGATGTCCATCTCCAGGGACTGGTCCCTCCTCATAATATGTTCATACTATAAAAGACAAAGTCTGGCCCTCTTGGTGTCTAAGGAGCATTCTGGTTGTACCTGTGCCAACACAAGATTTGTTTGTTCTTCTGGTGGTTGATAATACTTTTAATATTTTCCTCCCACACCCTAACTCAAATGCATAAGTCTTCCTAATTCATTGTTCAGTTTTCACATGCATATGAGGCTACTGAAAATACCAAAGCTTGGGTCAGACACACCTTAGTCCCCAAACTGACATCTTTGCTCTTGAACTCTTTAAGAGCTCTTGTGCTGCTGATTTGCCTAATGCACTATATCATTTGATTTCTTGACTGCTGCTTTTATGAATGTTGATGGCTTATCAGAACAAAATGAAGTCTTTGACAACTTTAATCTTTTCTCCATTTATCATTTTGTTATTTATTGTCCCAGTGGTGAAAATTTTTGTTTTCTTTACATTGAGGTGTAATTCATACTGAAGGCTGGAATCTGATATTCTGTGAATCCATGATTATTTTTAAATACAACTTTTTATAGAATCATTTTAGGTTTTAAAATATGCAGAATGTAGAAAGTGTTTACATATACCTCTCTCAACTCTGAACAGTTTCTCATATAATTAACATTCTGCATAAATTAGGTACTTTTGTTACAATTGATGAATCAATATTAAGGATATTAACTAAAGACTATAGTTCATTAGTGTTCAATTTTTATGTTGTACAATGTTCAGAGATTTGAAAATCATACTACGTTATGTGTTCATGATTACAGTATCATGCAGAATATTTTCATTTGACTTTAAATGCCCTGTGTTTCACCTGCTCATTCCTTTTCTCCTCTTCCTGAATCCCAGGCAACCCATGATATGTACTGGTGTGGCACTATAGGTCACTTTGAACTGCAAGATTGGTGGTTCAAGCTCATCAGCTGCTCCTCAGGAACCCTATACAAGGTTGTTGTAGGTTGGAACTACTCGATGGCACTTAACAAAAACAACAACAAAATAGTTTTATATTTTCCATGATTTCATATTGTTAAAATTGTAGCACATGTGTATTTTTCAAATAGACTACTTTCACTTAGTAATATGTAGTTAAGCCTTTATTTCTTTTCATAGCTTGGTAGATCTTTTATTTATTTAATTTTATAGTTTATGTTATGTTATATAGTTGCTATTGATAATATCCACAGTGGAATATGCATTAATTCAATGGGTTGTACTGTACATTTCAGTAAATTGTTCACCTTCTTCAAGTTGTATAACTATTCTTATTCCTTTTTCTGAAGTGTACCTCTGTCAACATAAACTTCACTGCTTTTTAAGTTCCCTATCTCCTCTGGTAGCGTAGTGGTTACGAATCAGGCTACGAGCCTCAAGGTCAGCAGTTTGAAACTACCAGCTGTTCCACGGGAGAAAGATGAGGCTTTCTGCTCCTGTAAAAATTTACAGCCTCGCAAACCCTGTACTGGGTCGCTATGAGTTCGAACCGACTCCACGGCACATAACAACAACAACAATCTCATATTTAAGTTGCTTTTGTCAATTTGATCCCAAATGTTGTTGTTGCTGTTAAGTGCCATTGAGTCCGTTCTGACTCATAGCAACCCTGTATAGCGTTCCTGAGGAGCAGCTAGGGAATTTGAACTGCCAGCTTTGTGGTTCAAATTGGCCTTGCATCCAGTGTATTATCCCACAGTGCCACACCAGGACTACTTTGATCCATATAGACAGAGTGTAAAAGATAACAATGCTCAAAGAGCCAATTTTTATTAGAGCCTAAACTGTTTGGTTCTAATAAAACTTCAGGGAATATTTTTGTTTAAGGTTTAAATTTTACCTCAGGGCAATCACTTTCGGGGAGTCATCAGGCCTCCCTGAGTTCAGAATGACTGGGTTTCATGAGAATTTAAAATTCTGTTCTTAATCAATCAAGATTCTTTTAAAAATCAATCAAGATTCTTCTATAGAATCTGTGATTAAAATGTTCTATATAGTAGCTCAATTATTTCTTCTGGTCTCATGGCAATTGCTACATATTCCATTTCGTATTTTGATTTCTGAGTCTCCATCTTACTTAAATAACATTTCTTTTTAATCATTGTGTAATTCTCCATTGTTTGTTATGGTTGTTGCTGTTAAGTGCTATACAGTTAGTTCTGATGCATAGCGACTCTGTATAGAGTTTTAAGGAGAGACTAGTGAGTTTGAATCACCAACCTTAAGGTTAGCAGTCTAGTGCTTATCCTACAATGCCACACAAGGAATCCCTCCATTGTATGGATGTATCAAAATTTCTTTATCCATTCAGCCATTGAATGACATTTTAGTGTATCCTTCACCAAATTATGTCATTATGAATAAAGCTGTTATAAATATTGCATGGAAATATATTCATTCATTTTTGCATTTCTGGATGTAAATTTTATATTAATTTGAGGAAATACCTTGAAACATAATTGTTGGATCATATGGTAAGACTATGTTTACCTTAGTAAAAAACTGTTAGATTATCATCCACAATGGCTGTGCAATGTTGCATTCTCACCTGCAATGAATGATAACTCTCATTACTTCACATCCTTTCCAACATTTGATGTTATTAGTATGTTGTATTTTGTCCATTTTAAGAGGTGTGTAGTGATATCCCTTTGTTGTTTTAATTTACAATGTTCTTATAATGTATGATCTTGAGTATCTTTTCATGTGCTTTTATATTATCTGTATATATTCTTTAATAGATTTCTACTTATATGTTGGTAAATGTGTAATTGGGTTGTTGGCTTTCTTAATGTTGAGGTTTAAGAGTTTATTGTATTTGTGAGATATGAATCATTTATCAGATTTGTGCTTTGAAATTATTTTCTTTCAGTTTATGGTTTATCTTCTCATCCTCTTAGCAATGCCTTTCACAAAGCAGACATTTTTAATTTTAATGTGTCCAAGTTATTTTTATTTTTTTTAACTTGATGGATAAACTTTATGGGTAAAATCAACTTCTAACAGTTGTATAGTTTTGCATTTAAATTTAGATCAGTGATTAATTTTGTATCAATTTTTGAAAGATATAGGGTCACTATAAGTTAGAGGTAACTCAATGGCACCTAACAACCACAAAATAATTTCTGCATCTAGATTGATTGATTATGAAGGTTAAGTTGCTCCAGCACCATTTGCTGAAAATAACATTTCTCTATAAACTGCTTTTGCCTCTTTGTCAAATATCAATTGAGTATATTTAATGTACATTTATTTCTCGATTCTTCATTCTGTTTCATTGATGGTTTCATTGATTTTTTTCATCTGCTGTCTTGCAAATACCACACTGTCTTTATCAGCATAATTTATAGTCATCTTTAAGATAGGTATTATCAGTCTTACATCTGTTCTTTTTCAATATTTCATTAGTTATGTAAAATGTGTTTAAGGTATAAATATACATCTACAAAATAACTGACTATGATTTTTATTGGAGAAACACCAAAAGTATAGATATTTGGGGAGAATTG